TATATTATTTAATGAAGCATGCATTAATATATATATATAGAGAGAGAGAGGTGGGGGAGAGAGAGCAAAAAATTACGAAACTTTGAGTTGATCTTTGATAAGTATTGCACGTGTTATTTATAAATATAAGAAATGAGAAGGCAAATTTCGACATTTAATTTTGAATCTGGTGTTTATAATAAGTTTAAGATTTAAATTCCGACATTTGCTGTTATTATGAAAAAATAGAGACGAAATGCTTTGGCATAAGAGGTTTACTTTTTGTCATGTCTTTTATTAACATATGCTGAACAAATAAATAGTAGTAAACCCAAAAATTCAAAATTATCTCATATGAGGTCTAGACCTGCTTCAACCGACAAAAAATTCGTCAGTCTTATTCAACCCCGGTGTATAGACTGAGTTCGTGTCGGAATTAGAAATTTTACTGTGACAGCATTCGAAAAATAGATACAGAAATTATCCATTTCAATGTTTCAGTAGACAGGGGACTATGGAAGGTCCCCTGTCTCCTTAAAGGGAAGAGGTTTTATAAAATTAAACCCGGATATTAACCTTATGACATCCAACTCTGGTTATATGAAGAAAGAATTGTTAAGTGGAAGCTAAGAGAGGAACGAAAAGGGAGTTTTTTTTTTAAATAAAATTATATAAATTAAAAAAAAATAAGTTTAAAAAATACAAGATAATACTTAAAAACACTCTTCCAAAAAGTAAAAATATCATTTATAAAAAAAAGTAAAAAATAAAATATAATTTATAAATAATATATATATATATATATATATATATATATATATATATATATATATATATATATATATATATATGATGATGATGATGATGATGATGGACTCTCCCGTTGGTATCGACTTGTCCATATTATTTAATGAAACATGCATTAATATATATATATATATATATATATATATATATATATATATATATATATATAGAGAGAGAGAGAGAGAGAGAGAGCAAAAATTACGAAACTTTTGAGTTGACCTTTGATAAGTATTGCAGGTGTTATTTATAAATATAAGAAATGAGAAGGCAAATTCCGACATTTAATTTTCCAACAACTTTGTTTATTTAACCCTGTATATATATATATATATATATATATATATATATATATATATATATATATATATATATCGAGAGAGAGAGAAAGCAAAAGATTACGAAACTTTGA